GGAAAGAGAAGGTTAAGGGTTAATTAATTAATGCATCAAGCAAAAGTTATTATAGGATAGCTTTGCTGCCAGTGTTCAAAACATTGGCAATCAACTAGTACGAGTGCACAATACTTTACTTCTATTACAAAAAGGTGCTTTGTTAATCATTCAAAACTACCCCCCTTGATTCCTGTTAATAAATGGTGAGATTTTTAGACTACAATTGCACTTAGCAGCCCCATCATAACCCAAATCCTGATGTTATTTTTGAACAAAAGAATTGAAACTGTTTGTAGAAAGCACAACCTTCCTCCTCCAAGATCACATCAGTGTCAGCATCTCTAGTCTTTCTCTATGTCAACTGCTCTTCAAGCTTCTGCCAATGTTTTGTTCTTTCTCGATTTAGAAAGATAAAATTGTTCTAGGCCTAGGAGGGAGTGCGACCCCCTTTCTCCCACAAAGACCCAATCTATCAGCGCTGCATGGGGAAGCAACATGAAACGGTTTTCTTCCATTGTGAATAAAGGTGCTACCAGGGAAGGTACAGGACCATTACAGATGGGCCAAGACTGACAAAGGTAACCTGTTTGGTGCAGGCATCCAGCTCAGCGTCTGCTAACCCTTCCCCTCTTATGATCTTAGATGGCATTGGGATGGCAGCAGGGCAGGAATAAGGACCTCCTTATTTAAATACCTCTAAAACCACACAAGAAACCATTGAGATGTCTGACACACAGAGCAAGAGCACTTTAGGATGAATGTGTTTTGGAGACACCAACAACACAGGGTCATCCATAAAATGCAGAATTGGGACACAGGGGGTGCATAACTTCGCTCAGATAAATACACTGGGCTTTTGTATGGCTTCCTTACATCGGCAAGAGGCCCTCAGGCATGCAGCTCATGGTTAAAACCGTGACATATACTGAGTGGTCATCTCATACTTTGCATCCACAATACATTCACCCTCAAGATGCACTTTCCCATCTGTGCTGTAGTCTTTTTTGATTAGTAGTTTTAGAGATATACATTGCTGCACACATGACAACACTAGAAAGGCCATAAAGAAGAAAAGGCTAAGAAAAGGAATGTGAGGTGAGAGAACAAGGTTGGAAATATGCAATGAAAAGTGGAAGAAAGTGTTAATATTAGTTGCAAACAGTGGGAAGATTTTTTTTTTTTTTCCCTTTTCTTTCCTTTTACTGTGATGTTAGAAAGCTTCTCTTTCTGGAAGTACAAAGATCGATCCAGTTTAAGGCTGTTTTAAGGGTATGTGAAATGAGTTCCTACTCTATCCAATCTACTGCACACAGATGACAGAGCCCACACCAAAGTGACTAAGGTGGGTTTCAGAACCAGTTTGGCCCATCTCTAAATATCACCCATGAAAGAAAAAACTACAAAGCGGGTCCAAAGCAAGCACCACGCAGCAGAGGGAACACATCTCATGCAGAGTATTAGGATAAAGCTGAATACACTTGAAAAAATTTAAAGGAAAAACAGTCACAGATCAACAGATCTCCATGAGGAGCCCCTGCACAGAAAACTTCCAGTTAGCGAGTATCTTGGGCTAAAGCAAACACAACTCTTTACAACCTCAGGTCAAGGTTTCTCTGCAGAAGAGAGTTAGAGCATAGCCTTCATACAGTAAAAGTTATTTACACACAAGTTTGCAAATACTTTCAGAAGTCAAAAGTGCGCTCGCCAGTTTAGACTGAGTTCAGTTTTACCTATATGACATTACACTGTTGTGTTCTAGCACCAAAATACCTATTCTGGAGGAACAGTTCCCAGCAATGAGGACAGTGCAAGGTAGCCTAGCACCTGAGAACTGACCGAACCCAGCGCACCAGGTCTATACTAGATATTTCCTCCTCGAAATATCTGCTGCCATAACTGCCCAGAACAGTGTTAGAAATAGCCTGTTCTACATCAACACCAGCAAAGGAGGTGATGCTCCCTTGATTTATTAGTAAGGGCACTGCCAATGGGCAATGGCAGGATATTCCAGAGAAAAAAGCCTAGGAAAAAAAGTGGGGGAAGGTCAATTCTTGCCACATGCACCTGTGTGCCCCGGGAACACTTAAGCTGTACAGGGAGACTGCAATATATTTTGTCTGCAAACCACAACCCTGCTCTGAGAGGTAATGTGAAGATGGCCAGAGCACTCCTTCTGTCTTTCCTTTCCCCCTCCATCTCTATCACATGCCACAGACTAACAGGGAAGAACGGCTTCTTTTTCCCCTACAAAGTAGAAGTGGATGCTGCCTCTGGCACTTTTGGAGGAGATGGGAGGGGAAGAAAATAGCATCTCTGTCTGGTTTCCCCCCAGATGTCATTCCCGTGACATTTCTGCTCTAGAGCAGGCCGTTCTGTGCCTACTTGCAGAACCAGCTTATGTGCACCACTTTTGCAGCAACACCTTGGAACGGGTGTCTGCCTAGCAGAAAGGGCTGTCTCCCGAAAGAAACCATGAGCACTTCTATTAGGGCAGGATATTAAGTGTGACATCGCATGAACTTCATATCCCCCTACTCTGAAGAAATGGATTTGGGAAGAGGTGGAATGGGTCAAAAAAACATCCTGTTTTTTTTTAACGGTATTCTCCATTCACCAGCAAGCACTATTACTTAAAACTTTCCAGCTATCAGCATGCTCACTCCATAATGAGGATCAGAATAACCCTGATTGCCAAAGAGAAGTTAATCAGTTTAAACATTACTGCTTTTAAATCAACTGGCTCAATTCCACCATCGGGAGACATATTTCATTCCACCTGCTCCATTTCTGCATTAACAAACAGCATCGCTGAGGGGATCCCTGGCTGCTCTTCCGCGTGCAAACCCCAGACAGGCGTCCAGCTAGCAGGGAGAGCCGGAGCTTCAGGGAGCATCAGGAATTGCCATAAGCGGCATTTTTGCTCTTCAGGTTGGGATTTCTCATTTTGCTTTTCTTGACTCAGAGCTGAACAAAACCCAGGAGGCAAAGATCTACCAAACCTTGGCCTCCAATTAAGCTATTAATTACATAAATTAGGGCATGCTCACAACTTTTAATTAAACAGATCCCCACTCTCCTCCTTGCGCTGCAGCACTCAAATCTGCATCTCATTCGAGGCGTGTTGAAAAAACCCCAAGACTTACCGAATGTCGTCCCCGCCTCCGGCCTGCTCACTGACGAGACGATGACGAAGCCGAACCCCTCGTTTTCGCCGCGGCGGATTTCCACATCATAGGGCTGGACCACGGTGCTGACAACTCCGCTGCCCCCGCCACCCCCGCTGCCGATGCCACTGGTGCTGCCACTGCCCGAGCTGACAGTGTTGAGGGAGTTCTGGCTGCCCTGTGGTGTTCGCTTCTCCTCCGTCAGCGAGGCTGGCTGGTTGCTGCTGTGGTGGGAAGAGGCTGGGGATGGGACTTCATTCTCTGCCTTGGGAACTGGGGAGGAAAAAAGAAAGACTGGTTTTGGTTTTGTGCAGGCTGCACTGTTTAGTGCTTGAAAAGTGACGTCCACTGAGAAAAAGGTAAAAACATAAAAAAAAAAGCAAATCACCTGCTTTAATCTATAAATCCTGTCCATAATGATCAAGGACTCCGTCTCCTTTTGGATGTGACCACCAACAGCTCTGTTCAGTGACAGCACTGACCACACATGCTCATCCTCTCCAGTGTATGGTCATGCAGCCAAAGCCTTTTGCTGCCAACCTGCAGCAGCAGTACTGTTAAACCAGTGTCGTGCTACGTGCTTGCACGCTCTGTGGCATTTTAAACATGGATTATATTAGTTTAGAGGTGCCTCCTTTAGCTATCACACCCTCACTTCAGTTACCTATGTGCAACCGTATTTAAGTACACAAATCAAGAGAGAGTAATATCAAATACCCATCACTCAAGACCTGTGTATTTTTTAACTCAATGCTGTCAGTTGAGTAGCACTGATTGCCTTTTATTAACATGATCTTAAGTAATAACAACCACCCATACTAAAGCAAAAAACTTGTGAACTAAGCTTCTCTGGATAGAAGAACCAGCAACTATCATCTGTACAGTCTGGCACAGTTTGGGGAGAACCATTAAACATTATTAACATTACCATTAATATTATACAAGTGTTTAACAGTAACTGAAGTTGGAAGTAGTATTAGTTTAAAATCTCATCAGCTACCAAAAGGCTTGAAGAAGTCTCAAAAAAATTACTTAGTCCACACTCTGCCCGAGTCAGGGCCAACTATACTTACTGTCAGTCCTGACAGATGTTTGTCTAATCTGCTGTTAAATATCTCCCTGGGCAATCCATTGGTTGCAATATCCAACTTAAATCTTCCCTGCCGCAACATAAGGCTATTATTTCTAGTTCTATCTAGCAGGCATATGGAGAACATATTATTCCCTTCCTCTCCGCAGCAGCCTCTTATAGTCTTGGGGAGTTTAACACCTCCTCCCCCTTCTCTGCTTTAGGCTAAACAATCCCAATTTGTTCAATATTTCCTTGCAGACCGTGTTTTCTAGAGCTCTCCTTATTCTCGCTGGTCCTCTGGACTCCCTCCAGTTGGGCTCTCTCCAACTCAAACGTGTCTTTCTTGAAGTGCTGGACCATATTGCAGCTAAGCCATCATCTGCTGGGAAATCAGGAGAGTTCCCCCCTGCCTAGATCCCAGTACAGTGTTTTTCTTCACCTGAGCCAACCTCAGGTTAAAGCTTGTGGCCCACAATAGCTTCCACTTCTTGTTACTCAGCCAGTTCTTCACAGTCCGTTTGCGCAGCTGACTGCAGCATGTTGCACTTGTCTCTAATCAGGTCACTTCTCCAATTTGGTGTACCAAAATTAAGTTGAAGATTTTAAAAGTAACAAGAAGAAAATGAATGCCAAACAAAACCTAAACTGTAAACCCACGATCCCAAAAAAACACACCTTAAAATATTCTTGGATAGAAGTACCTGTCTGCACTTACATACTCAACATATGTACTAAGTATATAGTATTCTATGTATTACGAATACATGAGTATAAACTTTCCCTTATATGAATATCAAGACATGGAGTATCCATTTAGGTGAACAATCTTTTTCTACTGGCATATAGATGAGAGGAGGAATAAGGGACCAAAATTCAGGACGAGGCTTCTCTACAAAGTTATGCTGGAATTTAAAAGCCTGGAAATCTAAGGTGAAAGAAGGAATCCTGAATAATTTATCCTAGAGTAAGTGTCCACATTTGAAATCATGCAGAAATAGCTTGGTCTGGAGTAACAACCCCTTGAATGAAATATCAAGGGTTTTCATCAAGATCTCTCATGAATTTAAATCTTTTATGGTAATTGCCAGCCTGGAGGCTGTAAAACTGGAGAGAAAATCTAAGCACAAAAACAATACCAAGAATTCAGCTGCCCTTCCCCTTTCTCCCAAAACTCATCTCCTAAAGCTTCTCTCACATTAGCAGCTCTTTGTCAGGAATGAGAGAGAGGCTATTAGAGGAGAGACATAACCCGGCATTTAATCCACAATGAGAAGGAAAGAAATGAGAAGTGAACATTTATTTAATATTGTGCAGAAGGAGCTCAGCCCTGGATAAGAATGCAGAACTGTTTTAGAGACGCTGTTCTAGTCCTACCTTCCACCGTGGGCCTGATTTTCAACCTCAATGTTATTTTGATGCTCTTTAATCTAAAACTACATCATTGCCTATTTTTCTGCTGATGTCTAAACTTGAAAAGCTATATAATGTTCTTTCTTTTGAATAAGTGAGCTAAACCAAATCACACACCTGAGCTCCCTAAAGGGACTCGCAAGAAGAGGCAGCACCCCAGTGTTACTCTACAATATTAAGCATAAGGTTACATGTCATTTAGAAAGCTCATGCTCGTGTCTTCATCATCTTTGCTAACAGGACGTTTTTGTGTCACTAATCCGGGTGCCACCAGGCAGCCTCACTTCTCTTTGCATCTCTGTCTTTCTGTCAGCTTCTTTTTTGTCCACTTAGACCATACACTTGTGCAGTGTGTGCACAACGCCTAGCATAACTTGGCACGCAAAAACTTCTCTATTACAACAAACATGCACACCCTGCACTACCAGAACCAATGACGCTTACAGTTTTGCATCCTGTGGTTGGTTGACTACATGTTGCAACCCCAGTTGAAGCTCCACCTGTGCCTGAGAAGACATTAGCCATCACACACCAATGCCCTCATTCATGCTCTGCCCTTGCTGCCCCTCCTGTGGACTCTTCAGCATCTTTTCCCTCGCTCCTAGTTTAGGGGTAGCTACCAGGCAGCACTGTTATCTTGGGAATTAAATGGAAAATACAGGCAGCCAGGCACAGTGTCTGTTGCTGCATGAGTCCAACTAAAAATGGTATGTTGCATCTGAACAGTTCCTCGTTTTATCAGAAACCTTCAGGAAGACTGGTGAAGCCAACTGAGATTGAGTCTTGACTGAAAACAAAACATTAGAAACTTATTTGATCAAGAACAAAAAAAAATAAAAAGAGGCAAAAGAGGAAGAGTAACACCACATCCCCTGAGTTTTCCCAGTATTACAAGGAGAAGCTTTTTTTCTTTAAATTGTTCACTGAACAGATGGAGTCTGGCAAGAAAATTTACCCCTGCAGAGCAACACTGCAGCGTACCTGTGTAAACCACTTTGCGCCTGACGGTCAGATTGACATGACCTTGTTTGGCTGCCTGTTGCATAAGCTGGACGACAAGCTGGTGCGATTTCCCGACAACAGGAGTCCCATCCACGCAAATCAGTTCATCACCCGATCTCAGGCGGCCGTCGGCATCAGCAGCACCCAGCGGTACAATGTGACCGATGTAAATCTGATGAATTGGCACAAAAAGAGGAGAGGGAGAGGGAGAGGGAAAGGGAAAGGGAGAGGGAGAGGGAGAGGAGGGGGGAGAGAGAGGAGAGGGAAATGAGAGAAAGAAAGAAAGAAGGAAAGAAAGGAAAGAAAGGAAAGGAAAACAGTGATAAATGAGAACTAGCTCAACACCAGCTGGAAGCAAGGGGCACTGGGAGTTAGACCCAATTTAGTAGGGAAATTGTTGACAAATGTCTACTGGTCAGGAAAGTTGCTCCTGTGGAAGCAGCTCCATGTGAATATAGCCATTTGTGAAATTGTAATAAATGGACATCTTGTTTCTTTAGGCGGTCCATTCACTCTAATGACCGATAGATAGCCTTGGGAAGTGTGTTCAACCAGACAGCGACCAGAGAGGAAGATGGTTAAAAGCACTGAGGGTCTTGTCAGGGAAGCTGAAATTCAGTTATCCTTTCAGTTGCCTCTAGGGTTTACAAGCTCCGTACCACTCGCCTGTCCACCAGCTCGTCTTGGTTTATCTTCAGTAAGTTCTGTGGAGTTAGTCTAACACGAGAGGAATTCATTGCCTTTCTTATGGAAAGAGATTCCATAAATGAGTAAAATAATTTTGGCAGGGAAATATGTGGAAATTTATGCTGCCACTATGCAGCTTTGACCTCCACAGCGCATGAAAGACCGTCTGTTTTTAGCCTGACACCTTCCACAGGCACTGGATTTATGGTAAAGAAGTTAAGCGAATTCAAGGAGGGAACTGAGCAAATAGAAAATATGACACTTTAAGATCAAAATACTTGCAAACCTGACCAGGACATCCTTTCCTCCACGTCCAGGCAATTTCAGACCTATGTGTTTTCATTTGGGCTACCACAAAAACAGGGAAGAGAAGAGGAAGCCAAACCCATTTTGATTATAGGAGTTTTGGGTTGTTTTTGGAGGGAGGGTGGGGACGAGTTGCGGGATGTAACTACATAGTCCAGTAATTATTTTAACAGAAATGCCACAGCACAGTTCTGCGCATCTGCACATGCTACTGCTGTAATGCTGGAAGATGTCTCAAGTTAAAACAAGACCACTTCTAGATGTACTCACAGGTTCTCCAGGCTCATTTCCACCTAGAATCCTAAATCCAAAACCGGTTTCCTTTCTCCATAGAAAGATATCCTGCTCTTGGTAATCTGGAACTGAAGGGAAAGAAGGAAGACTGTAATTTTTAATCAAAACCCCACACCTTTATATCCAGATCAGGACTACTCTGATGTACATGTAGAGGGGTCTGCTGCACAATTTTACTCTTTAAATGAGGAAGTCTTGAATTTTTAGACATAATTAAGAACATCTATAGGTTTAAATACTAAAGGATTATTATTTAAATCACTACTAAAAATTATATGGTGGTTTCTACGTTCTAGGTCTCTAATTGTGACTTGCCATTTGTTTATCACTATAGTATTTTCTTCTATCAATATTAGCATCATTACCCAGTGCAAAAGCCTCTTGCAAATCATCAATAAATAAATGTGTACAACAGAGAATCACTCTGCCAGAAACAATACAGCTGCCTCCTCTTTCATGGGAGACAAAAGAGCCACTTGTTATGACTTCTACTGTTTAATTAACTTTCACAAGCACAGTTTGCTATCTGTCTACTGACACTGCTTTAAATAACTCTGGGACAGATCCCCAGTTGGTGTAAAACAGAAGGCATCCACTGAAGGCAAAGCAGCTCTCCTCACTCTCACTTGCTCGTGTACGGGCTCTGTAAAACCACTGAACAGACAAAACCAGCTGGAAACATAAAAAAACTCAACCTTACCTACTCATTAGTATGGAACACCATCAAGGTTTTTACAATGAATATTACATACAGTGAAGTACTAACCTTGAAGGGCGGTTGAACAGTAATGTTTTATATTAACTTATTCATGCTTGCTTTCATCCCCTTTTTAAAAATGCAAAATTAATTGCTAACATTAAATCATATCAGAAGACAACTTCAGGTTCATTTAATATTTATTGGTCGGTATCTATAACATTGACTAATTTTATAATGATTCCCTCCCAAAATGTATAATTAAAGGCAAAAAAAGCTGTTCCTTTACAAGGCAGCTGCCTGTATCTTTAGTAAAGAAAACAAAGTCTATCGTTCAGGAATGTAATTTAAATAAGTGCATACTCAGATATAGGATGCCACATGTTTACTGAAACATGATCTAGTTTTCTGTATCTATGAGCAGATAAATGGGTTGTTTTCCATTGACATCAGTGAGTGTGAGACTGGGCCCTAATTGCGTTTTACACTGTCGGTGTCTGTTGCGCAAAGGTTTGGGTCTAGGCATCTGGTGCTTTTCAGTGGTAAGACTTTTGGCTAGCTCTGATGCTCTCTCTTCAATGACTCAACAGGTTAAGACCTGGGAATACTAAAAATTAGAAGAACAGGTGAGTGCTAAGGCACAGATGTCTGGTTTGACTTTTTCATTCAAACTGGTTTAAGCCATTGGTTTTATGTATCATACTTTCACATTCTAATGACTTGCAGTTATAAACTAAGCTTAAGACCCGTGCACATTACCTTACTGAACTAGAGGCTAACTTTTGTCCACATACAATCACAGAACAATTAGGCGACGAACACGCTGGAAGCCTGCGTGGTTCCTGTGTCCAGGCGAGCTGAAGGCAGCTCGCCGCCATACAGACGCGCGGCACAACAGCAGAACTTAGTGAATTAGTTGGTGTTTGTCACTGCCTTCAGCGAGGGGGAGCGTGAAGAGCAGACATATTCAGAAGCGTCTCTCCAGCACTTCACAGGCTTTTTTGGCAAAGGCTGGCCCCAACCAATTAATAGCACGTGTTGGATCTGTCAGAGGCAAAATGGCTTCTGCAGAGAGCTTCAGCGTGGGCCCGTTTCCTCGGCATCTCTCAACACCTTCCCATTTGTCAACTCTCCAGCCTCGCTGAAAGATGCCTTATGTTCCTGGTTTGGGTACCAGCTAGCCAGTTAACGGCTGCTGGAGACAACGGCAAGCCGGGGTGTAACAGCGGTGTCAAACCAAAGCAACAAAAAAAGACGAGTCTATACCCAAAGCAGCAAGTTCATTCACGTAACGCTCCTTCCGCTGGAAGGATTACGGAGAGGTGCAACACAGATACAACAAACACACAGACAACACAGATTCACACAGTGTGAGTACAAACCAAACCAAACTCCTTTTACCGCTTTTTGCGCCAACTCTGCAGTATGGTGATTCACCGGCACAGCCCAGAAAACCCCATCCACCTCTGTGCAGCTGAGGTAGCAGCCCGAGGCTCTCCATGCTGGAGAATTACTTCAGGTTCTCCATTATTCAGTAGAGCTTTAGAGGAGCCACTTTCCTTACTTAAAGGGAAAAATTCATGGTGATGCTGAAACTTTGTTGAAAACAAATTAAAACATGGCTTCCAGGAGTTATTCGCCGCATCTTTGCACCTTGGTCTTATCCCAAGCACGTCTCACTCCTCCTGCAAAAACGTGCACGTAGCCCAAATGGGTAAAACTTGCCAGGCTGCTCGTCCTGAATTAAACCAGACCATTTGGAGAGCGTCGCAAAAGCGGTAAGAAGAGTTCTGAGGGGGCCATGAGGAGGAATGGAAGGAGAGACAAGTGCCACAGCCCCATCGGTGACCCACATGGGCAGACTCACGAACGGACCGGGAACATGGTACCCCCCGCCCTCCTACGAAATCCACCGCCAGCCAGCACCCAGTAAAGCAAGTACGTTGCGCCTTCGTGGCTAACCTTGGCGTACGGCCCTGCCAGACTCCCTTGGTGATGAAGAGCCCCCCGCCACAGAGCAGCAATGACACCAGCACAAGACATCACAAGACACAGATACATTCTCGGCACAGTCTTACATTCTCCAAAACTCGTGGAACTGATTTCTCTCTCTCTCTCACCCTTGCTCAGTCCAGTTGCAGGCGAAGGTGACATAGCTGTAATATTAATTTTACAGTTTTGCAAAGCTTAATGTACCTGCTTTCTTGTTAGTTCATTTAATTAATTTTGACTGTATGGATCATGTTAGGCTTTCATGCATATAATTGCTAAGGTTACAGCTACTATGGATTACGACATACTAACTTACACGTCTATCTGCGCATGCCCGTGCACATGTGGATATATAACACATACACACATATGAATTTATACGTTTATGCACATGCATGCAGGTATATTTGAAGAACCCTTTTTGCTCCTCAGAGGAGAAATCTCTTTGGGAACACCTTAAAAATACTTTTCTACAAAACAATTTTCACCGTTATGACACAGTTAGTTTTGCAAATGGAGATATCATTTTCTAATGTTAAAAGAAATTCTAAATACATGGTGATGAACAATGAACACAGCGCTTAATTAGAAGTCATTTTAATCAAACTTTCCTATACAAACTTTAACAATTATCTCACACGCTATATAAAAAAAAAAATCTGCCCAGTGTGATATCAGTTTCAACAAAAGATGGATTCAAAAATAATCAGTATGAGTTTGCTTTAGTCACTAGCTCATTTGAGGCTGCAGCACTTTCAATGACTCATAGCTTGGCAAAGTACAAAAGTTTTAAGGACCAGATTCAGTAAAGTATATAAGGACAAGTCACAAATTAAGAGTGAATAGTCTCACTGAAGCTGATGGAGAGTTTCAGTGTCGCAAAGTCCTGTGATTTCGCCATAAGTCTCGTGAGATTCCGGTTTGTAGGAAAGCCCTCCTTTCTAAACTGTCCCACTGCAGAAGAATTCCAGTTTTTCTGTCTTTTCCTTTTAATCAACTGTTCTGGTGGCGTGGAAAGCTTTTGAAAGATGGCTTCAGCATGTTCTCGACAAGAAGACTAAGTTCTGCCACCGAGGTCCAGGCAAAGCGCAGTAGCTCGGCTGAGCCGTGGCCCAGGCTGGTGCCAGACGGACGCCAGCAGGGTCTGCCCCCGAGCCAGCTCCGTCCGCAGCTCTGCAGCCTCCGCAACGTGCGGCAAGAACCACGGTCCTTTTCAGCGAGACCTTCTCTACGGGCACGGGCACATCTGTGCACCCGAGTGCATGACCGTAACTGTTTGTCTCCTATTAAGATAATAAAAAGGACCTAACCCTACCAAGGGGCTTTTACTACCATCTTTAAAGTCAGTCTGATCAGAAGGTGGCTGCAATTTCCTGAGAGTATTTTTCTTTTCTATTTTAGAGAGAAAGTATCTAATGTTTGGTATCATTGTGCAAATAGTTTTAATTCTATGTAATTGCTGTTGAGTGAATGCTACACACTGGGGTCAAGACTTGTTTGTATTATTTTAATTAGATTTGGGGAGAGAAAATCCTACCAAATAAAATTATGTGCCTGAAAACAAAATTCAAATAGTAATGATAACTTAGAATATTTTAAAAGCTTTAAAAATTATCTATCGTGTTGTGCTTTACTTTTAATTAAATGCTTAAGCCCTTCAAAGGGATTCATTAACACATCTGCAATTCAGATTAATTCATTTTGTCACTGCTGTTTTGACAGATGGCCATATGTAGGATATGGTATTTTGCAAAGCAATCAGGCCACATGAGAAAAATTTGACAACAGATTGCGCTAATCTTTAAGGAAGTTTAATAATACATTGAAAAATAAAAAGCATATTATAAAAATATATTTTCAATAAAACTGTGCAAGATTGCAGAATTGCGGTTCTCCGATAAACTATTGAATCGCCGTTTCTCTCACTGAGTGCTCTTCGCGTATGTCATTCCTGGATCTTGGAACTGCTTCAGTGTTTAAACCTTAAGGGTTTGTCCTTCTCTCTGATTCATGTACACAACTCCCACTAGCAGCAATGAATTACCCATAAAGAGGAGCTCAGGCAGCTAAAACTTCGCAGCAGCAAAGAGTACATTTGTTATCGCCACCAAATGATCTGTTTTCAGATTCACTTAACACAAAGCCGGCTATTCTCAAAAGTCTTAATCCAGCAAAGAATTGCGACTCTGGGCCAGATTGCAGCAGAGCATTTGAGTTCAGCCTTAGCCTTAAAGCATCCAAGTCCCTTTGGGTTTACAGCTTGAAAATAAGCTTCCTTGGACCGGAGCCCAAGCGCTCAGCACCTTGCAGGCCTGATCCTCTCACCCGGAGGAGCTCATGTGAAGGAACTTTAGCCCGTATTTGTTGAATAAAGTTGCAGTTCTCATCTGCTGCCACTCAGCCAGAGTCCAGACACAGTTATGGAGCCATTGCTTAGCTTTGCGTTATTAATTCTAGCTTAATTTTTTTTTTGCTTCCCCTAAACAGCAACGTCTGTGGCTCTCCTCCGCAGACTCTGAGTACTTCCTGATATTAAGATGCATTGGGTAAATCAAAAAATACACGTTTTTACAAAATTATGGGTTATCTGGTGCTTTTGAACCAAATTCTGCTATACCAGTAGCTTCAGTGAGGCAAGTCACATAAGTCAAATATAGTCTTTTTTTATTAAATACTGATCCAAAGAATGCTCAAAGAAAGGAAGAATGCATTTTACCAATTGTGAAAAATTAAAATGTTGCCTGTGTGCTTTCCAGGTCTACATTATTATTATTAATGTTAATAACAGTGGGATGCACTCCCAGTGAAAAAGGCAGTAGGTGGTCATTATAGATTCAGCACTTCTTAGAAACATCCTGGAGACAATGTATTCATATAGGGAATGAAACCTCTTCATATTATTATTTTTAGATGAAAAAAAATTGTGTCTGGGCTGGGGCTAATGAATTCATCTTTTTGTGTCAACTACACTTGAAAAATTGCACTATGTTCCCTTTATACTCAACAATATCAGAAATGGGACGAAATAAAGCTCTAAAATTCTGTCTTTTTTAACTCCATCATATACTTCAACACAAAGGGTTGTTGCTGTTTTTCAGTCCACTTGTTCGGCATTCAAAACCCTGTCCCTCAAAAGAACATTTTATAATCCTTTTCAGGTTCATTAAAATTGAGGGCCATGAATCAACAGAGAGCAAGCCCTGGACTGGGCAGCAGGGAGAGCTGGGAGAGCTGAGCTGTGGCTCTTTGGGCAGTGGGGGCTTCTAGGACCCACCAAAGGCCCCAGTTACAGGATGCATCAGCCAGTCTCAGCACTGGCACTAGGGTGGCATCCTCCTGCCGTACATTAGATATTCATTTAGTTCTGCTCACGTCTTCATCAGAAGAATGCTAGGAGTCACACCTAGCACCCAAAGCTATGGACGCCATGGGAGACAAGATGCTAACCTCAGTCCCAAAGGCAAAGGGAATGGGTGCTCAAGCAAAGAAGAAAGCAATGATATGACTGTATCACCACCCGCCAGAGGAGGCACCGGAATTAAACTGAACTGCAGCTGGGTAAAAAGACGAACAGCACACGTGGAGCAGACAGACAGTGAAAATGGAGGCCCAGGGAATGGTTTCTTCCATCCCACAGTCTGTGGTGCTCCATGTCAGCAGAGCTCCCTACAAGTGGTCCAAGAGCCACACAGCCAGTGCTTGGGCAACACTGGGATGTGAGCCTCAAAGGGATGATTCACGATCATAACAGAGCAGCCACCAACTGCCCACTCTTCACGCAGACCAAACATACGGAAAGAAACATGGTGGGTGACCCCAAGCTCCCAGGGCAGAAGAGGTGCCAGGTCACAGCTGTGAAGCACTGTCTCCATTTATGAGCTGGCCACTGACCTCTAAATAAAACCACCAGTCACACTTTGGGATCAGACCGCAACAGGAGACAGAGCATGTCCAACTGCCCTTTTCACTTAGACTATATCTTTCCTGTTCTTCTTCACCTTTCATTAGAGGCAGCAAAGCCATGTCACGAGGTAAGAGTGCAGGCTGATCTGCAGGGAGTGTGTTTCACTCCAGCTTAGGGTTGGAAATTCATAGGCTCTAGGACACTTCTAGTGCCGCTTGCTTACAAAGAAACATGATCGCATCACACTTTTGCCACTCTCCAAAAACCCTCTCTATATAAAACCAAAACATCTCAGAAAACACCTTCCTGGGAAGGAAATGGCAATGGGACAAAAAAGTGGTAGAAAAGAACTGATGTCCAAACAGGTAGGTTGCATCTGGTAGAAGAGGCAGATGATAAGGATTGATGCAATAGAAGAGGACTGACCCCACCACAGAGATGCTTGACCACAGAAAGGTGAGACAAGTGAAGCTGATGGGGAGTAGCAGATCCCAATCTAGCAAAAGGCCCAAGCAGAGAGGACTGTGGCACAGGGAGAGATGGGGCATGGGAAACCATCAGGTCAACAGATGGTGAAAAGGCCTCTGTCTGGAAGGGCTCTAATCAGCGACAAGGATAAAACCTCCACAAGATACATGCAGCCATCAAGAAAAGAGGGAGGATTTAGCACATGGTGTTGGAGGTGGACACAGAAGACCAACCACCTACCTATGCACTTCAGGATTTCTCCAGCTCAGCCTCGGGTTTTATCAGGAAAGACAGGCAGGCGTTAAGCTGCTAAGCTGATACTAATGACTAATTAGTAGGAGTTAAACAGTTAATTAGAAATTAGCTAAGTAGCTGCAGGGGGTCAGAAGCAATGCCAGCACAGTGCCTGTGGGAACCGCAAGAGCTGAGCAAGGGTGATGCCGGTGCCATGGGACGGTGATGGCCTCAGTTTTGTTTGTCCAGGCAGGAGAAGGAGGAGCTCTGCCCGCAGCTCTGCAGGGGCTGAAGAGTCACTGTCCTTCAGCTCTTGCCCCTTTTTCCTATTTCAACAAGATGCACATGCAAGTTCCATCACTGCACTTCTCCGCAGATCAGCATGACCTGGCCCAAGAGCCCGTGGGGTCAGTGCACCTAATCCTGGGAAGGGAAGGGAAGCAGCACACAGAAGCTGAGACACCTACAAACTGCATTGCTGAGACATTCAATCTGAAGAGATGCATCTTCAGCCAAGAAACTGTGACTCATGATTTAATTTTTCCAGGACATAAGATTTCGAAGTGATTCATTTGTTCAGAAAAAAACAGTCCTACCATTTTTCATTCTGCGATAATGTTCATTTCATACAGGTTTTACCAATTTCCAATCAGCACAATAAAATCAAACTCCAGGTGATACTCTTCGAGCACCAAGACTTTGAAGCTCCCTCTTCTGTAACTTCAGTAACTATTGCTTTTGAAAATGAACCTAATACTCTAACTCTTTCTTTAAGAAGCTTTTACAGATTCAATCATCTTCATCAGCGCAATTAAAGCAAAGCCAGCATGTTTATTTTGTTTGCAGCGAAGAAACTGATTGAAACCGTATTTATAGTCTTGGAGCAGAGTCAAAGCCCCGCTGAACTATTAGCCAAGTGTGCAGATTATTAATTGCCATAAAAGCCACTTACAATATGCATTTGATATCTGTATTGTTAAAACGTCCACTCTGGTCAAAGTAAAATGGCTCAGCTGGATTTTCTCCTCCCCGGAGTGAGACCAGAAAGCATCTGGTACGAATTTCAGCAAACTAAATACTTCCCCTCCTTTCTGAAGTTCCTATACATACCAAACAATGAGTCTTAGCCTCAAAAAAAGGTTTAGGATCTGGATAACAAACTTGGGAATTCTCCTTGAGCTTAATTTAAAAGCAAAATAAAGAAATAGGGGAAAAGATGGTCTTTAATTTTAAGGGGATTTTTTGTATTAAGCTTTGGTCTAAGTGCCCTTTCCTAGAGATGATCTAAATTCATTCCTCATCAGAGAGGAAAGTGCACTTCTATCAAGTAGACATCACTGACAGATACCAAATTAACAAACTGAAGCCTTATATTTTCAATATAAATCTAAAAGATTCAGTTCTTCCCGAAGAAAATACACAGAGAGCAGCTGCCGGAGCCGTAGCCTTAGCAACCACACCTGCTTCATACTCACGTCGGCTTTCATACATGCTCCTGGACTGGGCCCAGATTTTGAATGGATCTGGCTTCTTCTGCCCAGAACTGTCCGGCTGATCCGCAGCCAGCGCCTCCGCGGCGGTGTAGTCCGGCAGCACCTGCGTGCTGTGAGCGGGGGAAGCGGTGTGCCCGCTGCGGTGGCTGGAGACGCTATGCTGAGAACTGTTTTGGCTGTCTTTCCTTTCAAGTGGTTGCTGTAAGGAAGAAAGCGAGTGGAAAGAGAGAGAACAGACGGTTATTGGTCTTTGAGTGGGTGTTTTCCATCAATTTTTCTCCCTTCTTTGATCAGGGTTTCTGCATGCACAGAAGTAAATATATAAATCACAGCTTTGCTGCCACCAGATAATGCTGGGTACAGTTAAATTCCCCGATGACAGATTTTGATAGGCAGGCTGACAGAAACAGATATGCAAAACAAAGTCATTTATCATAAAAAAAAAAAGCAGTTCACCATCTCGCACATAAAACAAATCTAAATCTCATTATAGGTTACTAGTTTCAGTGCGCTTATTTCTGCCTACATTAAGGCAGAAAAACTCAACAACCTTCTACTCCGAGAACATTAGGGTCTAACTTGAGCCTGCGAGAAAAAGGAAAAACTACCAGATTTCCCTGTGAAAACTTAAACAGTCCCTCTGAAACAGATGCAAGCACAGCCCTTTACTATGAAAGATCACTTTTGCTCTGCAGCTCTTGCAACCCCCACATCACAAGTGGGTGGATAACAGAGTACCACTTTCATGTCTCTGCTTCCCAGAGCATCCGCGGGATTACAGCAGAAAGCGTCTATTTGCAGTTTGATTTCCTTGTTTTAATTGAGTGTATTAAAACAGGAAAAAATACATCCGCCTAAATTCAAGGCTTATTCAAAAGCAGTATGTCAAGAGCTCTGTCTGCTCAATATTTAGCTAAGCAGGGTACATAATTCGTAACTCAAATTCACAACGGTGTGCGCAAATGAAGCCCAAGTCGCATTTGCATCGCCAGGATTTGTACTACTCAATATGCAGCAAAATCCTCCCTCAACAAGAGCTCCTCAAACTGTACAGCAAATGCTTTTTAATGCTCTTTTGAGATGACCTTGGGCTGCCACCAAGGTTGAGTCCAATCTCCCAACTGCTCCGGCACAGGGAACTGGCACGTTCCTGGGGCTGTTGTGACGCAGAGGGTGGCTGGAAAAATAGCATCCTGCAGGTTGTTTTTACAACACCCACAATTGCCTGGCTAAAAGGGACGAGCCACTCGTACCAAGAAAACTCAGGCAAAAATTTAAAGCCTCCTGCTGGCGGGGGGTACCTGGAAACATTGCACCAGGAGTCTCTGCTTTCAGGGACCTCCCCACAGAAAGCCCAGCAGCGGGTGGGAGAAAAGCCAGCAGCAAAGACAGAGCAGATCAGCACGGGGGGCTGAAGTGCACACAGGTCTGGGGACCCCCACCTTTACTCCGCACATGAAACCCCAGGCGGCCGATGCTCCATCACAGCGGGGCTGAATTAATAACAGGGGAAAGTCACTGCACGGAAGTGCCCTCTTTCCGAGTCTTAACAATGATCGTTTCTTTTCTTTTTTAAGTTGCACATATTTTTAGGTTTACACTGAGAAAAAAAAGCAGCTCCAACAGCCCAAATGACTTTGACCTCTCAGTCTTACATTCAAGTTGTTGATCCACTAACAGCATTTTTTTAAATAATATCTCAATTGATTAGAATGTAAAACTGCCTTTGTCCTCTAAAGCAATTTTGAACAAAGCATACCTGCTGTGATTACTCATCTGCAGACTTTCAGTTACAAATATCTGAACCAATTTCAACATTTTTAGCTTTCTAAGTGGTAAAAGAGGCTATTTGCATGCAGCCCTTCAGTTTTTAAATGAAGCCATTTTAAAACATCTATGCTGTGGATAATCACTCCTTTGTAACTTAAAAATGAAAAAAAAGAAAAAACACTTTACAACTCTCAGTCCAGCCATCTGGATTGTTTTGTTTGTTTGGCCAAACTACTAAAATAACTACAAGCATCCTGTGAAACTTCAGGCCAATCTCACTGGAAATAGCTGGTTTACAGAAGTTGGAGTACAGGGACTAAAATGTGAAGCTTTACTCAGCCCTTGGGGAAGTGTTGAGAACTCTCTGAAACCTTTCTGATTTAAAAAGAAACAAAGTTTGAACTTTAAGTGCATTCTCACTTAATGATATGTAAAGGTCTAAATATTGAACAAACGATGAATTCTGCTTCATATTTGGGTTGCAAATGGAAGAGTCAGCATAGCTCAAGCAAAACCACCTCTAAATAAACTAGAGTTGCAATTGCAAATACACAGACGTTTTGCAAGAAACAGGAGAAAACTTCTTCAGGGGGACAGTTGCTTTTCCAAATAGTAACTCCTTTAAAAAGCCTGAAACATCTCTGTTTAGGAGTTGAAGAGGGGAACGGAGAAAGGGGAACGGAGAAAGGGGAACACAACCATGGAAATCATGAATACATGTAATTAAATTAAATCAAGACAATATTAATCAACTTTCACATCACCAGATGAGGTCAAAAAGGTTTGGGGCCAACCTCTTGCATGTCCTGTAGCAGCTGCAGCACGCCAGCAGCGCCAGGACTTGCAGGGGTCCGGCCGCCCCGCTCTCCAGCTGCCCCTGCAATGGGGGCTGCCCAGATGAAGGAGTTCATGCCTTGGTGCAAAGGTGAAAAAACAATCACCTGGGTACTGTATTACAGCCATCAAAAAATAAGTATGTGGAAGGCTGGAGCTTGTCATGCCCTACCCAAGCCTCAGGTGTGGGACGCAGGGCCTGTGCCAGCTTCCCTAGACCCTCGCTGAAACTTTGCAGCGCTCATACCCTGCGAAACGAAAGGTGAAGAAAACGTACTATCGGGAAGGAAGTCTTTCGAGCTGCCCTCTCCCCACTGGCTGAGGGGAACAGGAGCGTCGGTGTGGCCCACATTTCCCCGTGCAGCTGGGGGGGCCACTGCGGTCAGGGTTTGGGCACACATCAGCCTTCCAGGACTTCTTCCCTCCACTGTACCATCCCATTTTCAGCCGCAGGCACTCCATTCGCCAACCCGCTTCTCCCTCAGCAGAGACGCTGGGCGAGCCCGCACGGAGCTCTACATCGTCCTCTGGCTACGGGGAGGGAAGAAAACAGCCAAGGCCATGTGAGCCAGGGAGCTCGGAGCTGCTGTGCGTCCAAAGGAGACAGGAGGAAAACCGGTTACAAAAGCCTCCAAGTGCCCGGAAGATGCTGCAGAGACCCGCATAGCAGAGACCAGCTTGTCATTCGTGCTAAACGAACGACTAATTAAATGTTACTTCGTAGAGTGGCTGGGGAGATTTTTGACACCGGGAGCGGGCTGCAGGCAGAGGTGGGACACCGATCGTCAGCAGCAGCCGCGTACGCCCGTGTCAGGCACAGAAACCCGCAGCAGAAGGGGCGACGGTGGCCGGGAGCGTGTCCTGCGGCACGAACGGACACCAAAGCTTTTTGGCACGGGATTCTCCAGGCATAAAACTGCAAGAGGGAAGGGTTGCTGTGGTTTTCTCCCACCGCATTTCGAGGTGGGGTGAAAATAACGGTCTCTGAATGAAGAGCGATACGTTGCAAAAACACTCATGCTGTGGAACCAGTTTCTCCTCCCGACAAACACGGTTCACCAGCAGAGCCCCAAGTGCTGCCTATTCACCCGAAATACGGGGCAAGTCTCTTGTCAGGGACAGGCTGTGCATAGGAATTGCATTTTTGGCCACAATTCAGCTATGCTGGCAATGTATTTATTTACACCCAAAAGAAAAATCAGATTTTTGGAAGAGCTTAGCACTTTCTTCCCCCTGCAGTGATCCTGTCTTCTGATGATCTAGCTGCAGACTTTGTGCTCTAGAGCATTTTGAAGAAGCTGGTCCTGGCAGCAACAGCAAGCTGAGCTAGAAATGGGAATCTTTGCCCCCTTGTGGAGTATTTTGATGCAAGGAACAGGAAAAAAAAATAGGGGAAAAAAAAAAGAAAACAAAAAGTTTGTTGTCATCCATGTTGTATCACGATAAATGCCAAAGAAATTGCTATACTAGAGAACTTGCACACTGAAAATGTATATCCCCAGATGGTCAATACAAAAATATTACCCGTTTTCATCTAAAGAAGAATCAACGGGAAACCGAAAACAAACAAGCAGCGCAGCGAGCTGCTGTGAGCATACCCTTGGTGGGGAGGAAGGAGGAAGAAGGGACTTGGAAGTGCCCAGTCTCAGGTATGGCTGCAAACTTTTTTTTTTTTACTAATTTGGCTCTTTCACCAAGGTTGAAAAACTCCCCTTAAAAACCAAGAAAAAAAGCAAAGCTCATCAGAAAATACACACAGCCTGAAAAATACAGCCCAGGAAAACTGAGTTTAAGGCAGAAGAACATTCCCAGACCGTGCCGCAGTCCCAGCACTAAGAAACCTTTCCAAGGGCCTAGAACATCTCTTCCCCGCTGGGAGGTAACCAACAGCCTGAAGTTGGCCTCCTGGGAACACGGGATTTGGGATGGTAGCTAAAAATAGGGCTTGTCTGAGAAAGAGAGAGCCGTTGGCAGCGTTGGGAGTGTGTCCGGGCTTGGGGAAAGGATACGAGATAAGAAGAGAGGACCTGTCACTGCACCGAGCGACGCAGAGGAAGATGGAGACCCGAGCTCGTGCCTTCCCTGATGCAGCAGAAGAAACAAAGCATGAGCACGAGTTAAGAACGGTCCAACTGCTCCCGGCTTGGATGGATGCTGTCCTCTAACCGCAGCCGTTTCCTCATCAAGGAATGATGGAAAACGTTCCCGCTGTGTAGGGCAAAGGGAGCTGGGGAAACGGGCGGCGCGTTCAACCCAAGGGCCGCCGCCGGCCG